ATTACTCAGCATTCAAAAAAGATAAACACATGCAATTTGGATGCAGCAACATTGATGGAGCTGGAAGGGATCATGCTCAGCGAAATAAGCCAGAAAGAAAAGGAAAAATACCAGATGGTCTCACTCATAGCAGGAATCTAGAAAACCTAAATAAGGGACCTGGAAAAAGAATAACTATAAGAAAGAAAAAAATCAAAATCAACAAACAACTATGAACCAGAGACACACTTTGGGGGGGGGGAAGGAGGGATTGGGGTCAAAATCAGGGTGTTGCAATTGTATGGGAAATATAAAAATAAAATAAAATTTAAATAAAAGGCAGCCTGTGTTGATTTATAGAACTTGCCAGGCAAATGTTCATATGTGTGTATTCCATTCTGCATATGTCACCATGATCCACGAGTCAATATAAAAGGTGGGATAAACTTAGTATGATGAGTCCCAAAAGAAGAAATCGGTTTGTCCAAACTCTTATTTTTCTAAAACCACAATAAGTGAATTCCTTTTCCATTCCAGATTAGCTATGAAGTTGATACTCAGACAATTTTAGAAACAGAAGTGTAATTTCTGTAACTTATTTAAAACTTCAAGTACAATAACATCTATTGTATTGGATTTTTGCTTTCCCTGTATACATAATGAATGGAAGCACAGTCATTTCTCAAATGCATTGGATCCTTATGTGGTCAACTTCCAAGCACTCCCCACCCCTACCCTGTCTCTCCACATTCCAGGTGACACCCTAAGTGTTCCATCTGTCAGAGTAGCTCCAGGTACCCAGAGAAGCAAACTCTTTGTTACCTCCTACTCAGAACCAAACTTTGGAATTTTTAATTCCAGTTTTATTGTAATATAAATGGTATTAACACTATGCAATCTAAAGGAGTGTATACATTGGCTATATCTATATCTATGTATTTAGATATATAAAATGATTGTCATGGTAAGTTTCATTAACATCTATCACCACATAGTTATAATTATGTTTCCTTTTAATTAGAATTTCTGACATCTACTCTCTTACCTGCTTTCAAATACACAGGATAAAATATAGTCATCACAATGCACATGACATTTCAGATCTTCTTTATCATTCAAACTGGAAGTTCGTATCTTGGGACTACCATTTCCTTACCTCTCACCTAACCCCTCTGGCACCCACAAATATGATCTCTGTTTCAATATGTTTCTTATTTTATATTCCACATATAAGTGAAGTCTTCCAGTATTTGGAGAAAATCATAGGCTATAACACCTTGCGGTGAATGATTATCATATGCACAATTGTATTTGTATCTATAGGCATCCTTTTATATTTTTATAATCATTAAACCCTCATTAATACCCAAGGAAAAAGAATAAACATATTCTTTGAAATCATTTATGAATTCATCAAATGATCAATTCCAAATCAAGATTTATTCATTCACTTCACAACCCTCTGCATCTTTAGTTTTTTGTGACAATAAACATGATGAGTTTATGAGACAAAAGAGAGACAAACTGTCTTTTCTGTTAAATAAGGGATTTTCACAGATTTTCAGAGTAGTACATCCTGACAGCCATAGAGAATCAGTCAAGTATTTTTAACTTATTCTCTAAAGCATGATTAAACCTGTATTTAAAATTGGAGTCTATGAAATAATGTCTGCTAGCATCCTGCACAAGAAAATGGTACCTCGCAGAGTAAGCAGACTGAACTATTTCCACCTAGCCATAAGTTCCTACAGTGGAAAGAACTCTAAGTTTTCCCAAATGTTGTCATATAGGTGCACACACCATAAATGTCTATTGAACAAGTGTTTCAATGGGTTAATTGGCACATGCACTGAAGAAAAATAAATTACCATTGAAGCCTCTGAGATTGAAATATGGAATAAACTCTTCCAGACTATGTTTCAACACAGTCTAAAATTAAATTACATTTAATCCATAGTCTAAAGTCCAGACTATGTAAAAGAAGATTCAGGGCCTCCCTGGTCACACAAGGGGTTAAGAGGCAGCACTGTGAAGCTATCTGCAGCCACTGCAACAGGAGTTGAATCCCAGGCCTGGGAGGTAACCCTCATGGTGCAGCAGACCTCTCCTGTCTTGCCCGCTGCTTCCCTCAGCAGTGTATTTCAGTACATCTGCCTGCTGCTCCCCAGTCTCGACTGAATCCTCTCACTTCCTGAATCTCTGTCCTGCACCCCAGGTTTTGTATGCATGAATAAATAAATTAAAAAAAAAAAGAAGATTCAGAAGATTTCCTGGGGGAAAAAACAGAGAACTCTTATTACTTGTAAGATGATAGATATCTGATACTGATTTAAGAAGTATTAAAGAGTAACTGAAAATTACCTTAATTATCCAGCTGCTTGTTACAAAAGCATCAAGGACTGTAGCAACAGAGTACAGCAGACCCCATCCCCCACCCTTACTTAACTGCAGCTTTCTTTTCTGAAGTGTCAGTTAACTACAGTCAACAGACAACTACAAATACATTAAGATATTGTGAGAGAGATCACATTCATGTAAATTGTATTACAAAATATTGTTAAAATGATTTAAATTACTATTACTTGTCACTCTTACTTATTGTGCTTCATTTATAAGTGAAGCTTTATCTCCAGTGTGCATGTGTAGAAAGAATATCATAGCACAGAGCATGTTCAATACCTCGGTATTTCATGCCCCCACTAAAGGGTCTGGGTTGTTTTTCCCAGAAGTCACAGGAATTACTGTCTTCATCCTAACTTCATCTTAAATGCCCACCAAACAATTTTCTTTGAAGAGGATGCTAAATGTCTTGGTTCTGAGTTATTCTTTCAATGTCTTCTTGTTTCCCCACCACCTTCAGAATAATAAAGTCAGTACAATAAGTGAAAACTCACCAAGAGAAGTTTGATCATAAAGGGAAGAAAGATTTAATCAGATAAGATGGATAATTTTCTCAGGCTCTGCATTGCATGACCATCGTTTGGGGAGGAAAGAAATCATTCATTTCTAAAGTGACCCAAGCACCCCAGGTATTCAGAGTGCTTTCAAAATAAAGAAATTTTCTTCTTTTTTAACAGTGCCACAGTGGGAGAATTTATTGACTTTTGAGAACAGACATATAAGATCAGAACAAGTGAAAACTGGAAGCTACAATTTTCAAATACTTATTGGGCAATCAGAGCTGTAGACATCAAACATCAGATGACTTAATGTATGGGAGGCTCTCAAAGCAGGGATGACCAGGAAGATAAAAATCGCTCTTTGATTTACAATCCTCACTCAGAAATGAATATAAGCACGTGCAAGTTTCCCTCCCGCACACTCCTCCTTCTTCCTTCCTGCCTTTCCTCCCTCCTCCCTGTTCTTTCTCCTCCTTTTCACTCTTCAACTCTCGAAAGTTTCATCCTTGTCATTCAGAAAATTTTACAGAATGTTAAAGTTTATCATCAAGTGAAGTTTCAGTCTCCTCAGAATATTCCCTTTCTTGTAATCTTTTCAGATGTCTTTTATAGTCTCCTAGTTTCATTTTTTAACACATCGCAACATATTAACACGCCAACATGCATTGACACAATTTTTACAGGAATATAAATGTATTGAATGTAGGAAGCTCAATTTTGTTTATAGTATTTGATGAATGTCTTTAGAAAAAATATGAAACAAAAAATTGTTTCTAATTATATCATTATAAATATCATTAGTTCTTTAATTACCCCAATCATAAAATTTTAAAGAGTATATAGCGACAGTGCAAAATAACATTTTCTTTTTCATGTCAACAAAGATTGTAGGGACTAATAAGAAGAGGTTCTAGAATAACATTAAGTTTGGGAAAGAGGAAGAAACACTGGAATTTTAACATCAGAAGTGATATTCAGGTGCGCAGACCTCTCTTGCCGCCCGCTGCTCCCCTCAGCAGTGTATTTCGTCAGTCTGCCTGTTCTGTTCCCTGCTCTGGCTCTGGTGAATCCTCTCACACTCCCGCACTTCTGACTGTACCCAGTGCTTGTATAAATAAATAAAGAAATCTTAAAAAAAAAAAAAGTGATATTCATCACTTACGTATTACCTATAGAGTGTGTGTGTGTGTGTGTGTGTGTGTGTGTGTGTGTGGTTTCTTTGGCTTTGGTGAGGATAATGCTGTCCTCATAAAAGAGCTGGCCCCCTTCAGCATTTTGAAAGACTTTGAAGATATAGGTATTAAAGTTTTAGTAGAATTCACAAACTTACTGTTTTCTTCCACTAGCCCTTCCCTCACACTATGCCCCGCTGTGACCAGGATTCCAAGGAGTGCCCCCCGCAGCCCAAGGTTTCAGGGAAAAATTGAAGGCCTATAATGCCAGGTTTCCTTAGGAAACAGGTGTGCCAACACACAGAAAAGGATGCTGAATCCACAATGTTCAGCCTCCTGACATAAGACCATATCTGCGAGAGTCCCTGAACTGGAGGATACCCAGGAGCACAACCCTACCTCCGGGCCCGGCCCCCTGGTGGAGAACCCTCAGGAGCATAGTACCACCTCCTTGCCAGGCTGCCTGCTGGAGGACCCGGGGGAAAACAACACCACCTGCGTGCCAGGCCCCTTGCTGGAGGATGACCCTGAGCACAGCACAATCTCCATGCCAGACCCCCTGCTGGAATACCCCCGGGAGCATAGCACCACTTTAGTGCCAGGTCCACAGTTGGAGGATGCCTGAGAGCACAGCACTCTGTGGAGTGCTTCCACTCTGTGCCAGGCTCCCAGGTGCAGGACTTCCGGGAGCGCAGCAGCACTTGAGTGCCAGTCCCCCAGCTGCAGGATGTCCTGGAGAACAGCAGACTAGGCTAGGCCCAGTGCTGGAGGACACCGGGGAGCAAAGCAGCACCTCTGTGCCAGTCCCCCAGCTGGAGGATGTCCAGAAGCACAGTAGCACCTTTGTGACAGGCCCCCAGCTGGAGGACGTCCAGGAGCACAGCATCACCACTGTCCCAGGCCCCCAGCTGGAGGGGGACTAGGAATGAAGGACCAAAACCTTCAGTCCAGCCCTCCAGCCCCCCAGCCCTCCAGCACCACCCTAAGACATCCCAAAGACGTGGCTGGTGCCTTCAGTTTCACCAATGCAGTGGCCCCTTTAGAAAGATTTGGTCAGGAAGAAAATGGTTGCATTTCAGTTTCTCACCTTAATTCCAGCCAAGGTGGGAGGGCCAGGCTAGGAGAATAATAAATACAATATTAACATTTTGCTGCTTCTGTCACCATTCTGACTCCACAACAACAGAGTGCACGTAGCCAGACACAGAATATCTATGGCTACACTCTGCAGAAGTCCCGCCCAAAGTGCAGCCACCCAGTGGCCAGGTGAACAGGAGCACACCAGGGGAGGATGAGGCTCTGGAGAGGGGTCAGGGGCTGGGCACAGTCAGAGGGGCCAGGAGCAGCATGAGACCCACAGGTCTGGAGCACAGATGTCCAGGGAGTACTGAAGTCCAAGAAGCAGAGCAGGTAAAGGGCCAGTAGGGCAACGGAACTGATGAAACACCTGGAGGGGAGCAGAGGGGATGAAAGGGGGGGGAATGGAGGTAGGGGGCAGCTGAGCAGATGAAGGGTCCCAAGAGGGGAGTGGAGCTGTGCAGGGGCAGAGCCCCCAGATGCCCAGGGCCAGAGGCAGGGAACCCAGGGCCTCGCTTTCCCATCTTAGGTTCTGTCCCATGAGAGCCACCCTGCCCCGTTGCTGGGAGAGCCCTGCTGTCGGCCCCTGGACACACAGACAGCACAGAAGATGCAGGAGCTCTTCAGTCTGAGTGGCACTGTCACTGTCTGACATCCATGGCAGCAAGTACCCCTGCATTTGGCCCCTTTTGAAAACTGAAATTTCAAGTTGGAGAATCGCTCACCTGCCAACTAGTGGCGGCTCCTAGGGCCTCCTGGTTTCCATCTGAACCTTGTAAAATCAGTCTGTGCCGCACACCCCAAGGGATTTCTCTGGCAAAAGATCATCCTAAACAGGTAACTCTGTGCTTGGGCTTTATTGGCTCGTCTCTTTCACGCAGGTCCTGGATGGCGTGGGAGGTGGCCACGATGGACAGAGGGGCTCCCCACTGCAGGGTTGACCTCCAGGTGACTGGCTCTGCCTGCGGGGCGCTGGGGCATGGAGGCATCTAAATGCTCTTCTCTGCCTGAAGGAGACAGTCAGAAATGGATTGTTCTGTTAACATGTCTATCCCATGACAAAACCAACTGCATTTGCTTCACATTTATGAATGCATCCACACATCCAACACATGGCTCATCAGATACCTAAACTTGCTTTAAAATTCCTGTAATCAGCAGTGAAAATTTTAGAAAATATTAGAAAGCATTTAGAAAATTTTAGAAAAGTCAGATGGGTCACATGGTGACATAAAATAGTGAAACAGACCTACCAATGAGTGTGTAACTAGTAGCTGCAATATTTTCTTTAGGTGTATGTGCATGTGCTGTCTGTGTCTGTGCCAGTGTGTGCATGCCGGTCTGTACATGTGTGTGCTTCTGTATGTATGAAGAATTCATCTATCTTCTACCATCAGGAAGACCCACAGAGAGCTGAAGAGAATTGTCCTAATGCCTTGAAAAGTGGCTCCTCCCTGGTGGCGCTAGGGGTTTAGCACAGCACTGCGAAGCTCTGGGCAGCCTGTGCAGCAGGAGTTCGATCCCCAGCCAGCGAGGGAGCTACCCACAAGGGGCAGCTGACCTCTCCTGTCTCCCCGCTTCTGCCCTCAGCAGTGGACTTCATTACATCTGCCTGTGCTGATCCCCAAATGTCTCTGGTGAATCCTCTCAGCGCCCCCACCTCTGGCCTGCACCCCACTCTAGTACGCACAGAGAAATAAAAATCAACCTAAAAAACCCTAAACAATGTGCCGCGTGATGCTGGAGATGCTGATGGAAACACCCGAGTGGAGGAGAGGACTAAGCAAGTGGTTCTCCGGAGCGGGATGTAAGGGAGGGGTGGGCGAGAATGAGACATTTTGGAGTCAAGGGTGCGTCGGGGATGTTGGAAGCCATGGGGTGGACTAGTGCAGTTAAGGCCCGCGGGGCGAAGGGGGAGCCAGGCAAGCGTTTGAGAGAAAAGCTGGAATGGGCACTGGCGGCAGCAAGCGAAACCGAGCGGCCACGACGGGCTCTGCGGCCGCCGGGAGCAGCAGCCGCCGGGGAGGGCGCAGCAGAGGCGCTCGCAGCCCTGACGGGGCGGGCGCCCGGGGCAGACGACCCCGGGACCGGCCCCGCGCGTCCTCGCGCCCTGAGGCCATCACACCCTCCGCGCCCCGGACCTGGGAAGTGAGGCGCTGGAGCGCATCCGCCCCGACAGCACGGCTCCCGCGCCCCGGCCCCGGGGGCCCGCAGGGCAGGGGCGTCCTCTCTCCGCGGCCCGGCCCCGCCCGAGGGGCAGTTGCTGCGCGGGCCCCGGTAACCGCCGCCCGCGGCGGCCAATCAGGAGCGCGCCGCGCGCTCACGGGGCTCCAGGGTCCAGTCAGCCTTGGCGCGGGAGCGGCTCTGAGCCGCGCTGGGGGCGCGGGGACCCGCCCGCGAGGAAAGGAGGCGACCCCCCGCCCTGAGGGAGGAGGACGCGGGGTCCCCAAGGCCGAAGGGGCGCCGGCGCCGGCCCTGAAGGGAAGAAGACGGCGCCGGCCTCCGCAGAGAGAAGCAAACGGCGCCCGCGGCCGCCCTGGAGGGGGCAGCCGCCCAGGCCCGTGGCGGAGGCGCGCTCGTCCTGCTCTGGGCGGCCCGAGAGCAGCCGGCCCGGGCCTGGCGTCTCCCAGGGCTGCTGGTGGCGGGTGCGGCCCGACCGCTGACGCGGTGCCTGAGGCGCCTCTCCGGGCGGGGAGCGCCTCCCTGCGGGCCGTGCTACCCCGCGCCGCTGGGGCGCGGGCGGCCGTGGCTGAGGCCGCCCGGGCGAGGCCGCCGCCAGCAGGGGGCGCAGTCGGCGCTTCGTTCCCCTCTTTGTGAGCAGCCCCAGGGCTGGCGTTGCTGGAGCCTGAGGGCTCTTGCAATTGTGCGCGCGGGTGAGACCCACAGCCGTTCCCTGTGCACTTACTGGGCGCTGTCGTTCGCTGTGTGTAGTTCTTGGGTTTGCTTTTGACCTTTTGGGCTCTTTGCTGGCTCTCGGCTCTCAGAGGCTGGGCAGGTGGGTGGCCGTTGCACCCATCCGGCCCCCTGCCTGGTGGCTCATTTGTGGCCTCCTCTGCCCCTGTGTCACCGAAACCCCTGAGCCAATGCTTCTGAGCTTCGGCTGTGCTCCAGGCTGCTCAGGTGAGACTCAGTCTCAGCTGATACTGTGAGTGAACGATCAGGGTACGCCTGGGGGGTGAAAGGAACCTGCAGCCTGAGTAGCAACAGAACCCCCATTGTTTACGTGAACCCACCATTTCCAGATGCCAGGCAATTCCTGGCAGGGCTCAGGGTCACAGTGCCTGGACCTGTCCTTTGCCAAGGCCCCACCCCGCCAACCCCCAGTTCAAGCAAGAAGCAGATATTTCCAAGCCAGAAATCTCGGTGGGAGCTGACCACCCCCCGTGACCCCTAGCCCCATTGAGTCAGGCCAGAGGGTGTCCCCACAGCAGGGGGCGACCATGGAAGGCGGCACCCAGTGAAGGACACACACCCAGTGTCGTGCTGCTGGCGACACTTGACAGTGAGGGGCGGGGCTGTGCCCTTGCACTAGCAGGCAAGACAGGGGAGTAGCAGACATGGGGAAGAGGAACCCTAAGGCCGAGCTTCACAGCATCTGCGGACCTGCCAGAGCCGCCCCTGCCTCTGGCCTGCGGGGTGTCCAATGGGCATGCTCAGCTCAGTGGCAAAAATGGAGGAAAACCATGGCCCAGAGCGTTTTAAATGTTAGGATGTGAAGAACGGACTTTGTTGAGTCTTAAGCTCACAACATCCTATGGTTTGTAATGTCAGTTGATGGCGTAGTGTCATTTTGAGACGCTTCAGAGTTTAAGGAGTGACTGTATGAAGGGAGCTTTAAAAGCCAAAACCTAGGACAGGTTTTGTTACTACAAATCAAATGGCCTCTCAAGCATTCTATGGGTTGTTAACTGGGTGCGTTTGTTAATACAGTAGCAGAGCTAGTGCTGTCAGCAGAGGCTGCTCAGGCCTGTTAGCACAGTCAGGGCTGGTGAGTGTAGTCAGCACAGTCCACACTCACTATGCTTAGGCGCCTCACTCCCAAGGGACCTAAAATCAAAAACTACCTGGTGGGAGGGCGCCCACACCAAGGTGAAGCTCCCCTCATACACTCACAGGCATGGAGGTGCCCATCAAGAGCATCCAGAAATCCAGGCAGCCCCACCGTGCATCCCTGGCCCACGAGGTGGGGTGCTTGAAGGTGCTTTACCACCCTCATATCATTCAGCTGTTCCAGGTCGCGAACACCAGAGATGAGCTGCTGCTGGTGATGGACTATGTGGAGGGTGACAACCTGCAGGGCTACCTGTGTGAACTTGGGCGCCTCATGGACAGCGAGGCCCACCAGATATTCAGGAGATCCTCTCAGCCCTCAGCTATTGCCACACCAAACTTGTGCATTTGGACCCGAAACCCGAGAACTTCCTGATGGACCAACAGAGAAACATAAAGCTGGTGGACTTTGGGCTCAGTGTCCAGAGCTCCAAAGATGTGCTGCGCACGTACTACTGCAGCCCGGAATAAGCACCCCCGAGCTCTACCAGCATTATACTGGCCCCAAGGTGGAGTGTGGAGCCTGGGTATCATCCTCTACTAGATGGTGACCGGGATACTGCCCTTCATGGGGACCAGCCTTGAGGAGATCAGGGAGCACATCCTGCGTGGATACTTCTGCGTGCCCCACTACCTCTCAGTCCAGGGCCAGGACCTGTTAAACAATATGGTGGCACTGGACTCCTGGAGATGCAGCACCGTAGAGAGCGTCAAGCAACACCCCTGGGTGCGAATGAGTAAGGGACTCCTGCCTTTCAGCGAGCCGTCCCACGGCTACCATGACAGTCATAACGAAAGCCATGGACACCTGGTTACCAGAGACATGAAATTTGCAGAGCCACTGCGGAGAACAAATATGTCCTTACGGGAACATACCTGATACTCTGCTCCAGGAAGCAGGAGAAGGAGGACAGTAAGGAGGAGGCGGAGCGGCCAAGGCGCATCTTCTTCTGTGAGCCCTTCCCTAACGCTGTGCCCCACTGTGACCGGAATTCTGAGAGTGCTCCTCACAGCCTGAGGTTTCGGGGAATAATTGACAGCCTATAACACCAGGTTTCCTTCAGAAACAGGTGTGCCAACACATGGAAAAGGATGCTGAATCCACAATGTTCAACCTCCTGGCCACCCTGGGCCACAAGACCATATCTGTGCGTCCCCGAGCTGGAGGATGCCCAGGAGCACAGCACCACCTCCGGGCCCGGCCCCCTGCTGGAAGACCGCTGGGAGCACAGCACCATCTCCTTGCCAGGGGTCAGGGGCTGGCCCAGTCAGTGGGGCCAGGAGCAGCATGAGACCCACAGGACTGGAGCACAGATGTCCGGGGAGCACTGAAGTCCAAGGACCAGAGCAGGTGAAGGGCCAGGAGGGCAAGGGATCTGGAGAAGCACCTGGAGGGAAGCAGAGGGGGCAAAGGAGGGAATAGAGTGGCTGGAGGGCGCTGAGCAGGTGAAGGGCCCCAGGAGGGGTGTGGAACTGTGCAGGGTCAGAGCCCCCAGAGGCCCCAGGGCCAGATGTGGGGTCCAGGCTCTCCGTTCCCCATCTTAGGCTCTGTCCCTTGAGGGCCACCCTGCCCCCTTGCTGGGAGGGAGAGCCCTGCTGTGGACCCCTGGACACACAGATGGTGCAGAGGATGCAGGAGCTCTTCAGTCTGAGTGGCATTGTCATTGACTGACACCCACGGTAGCAAGTCCCCCTGCATTTGGCCCCTTTTAAAAACTGAAATTCCAAGTTGGAGAATCGCTCACCCGCCAGGTAGTGGCAGCTCCTAGGGCCTCCTGGTTTCCTTCTGAACCTTGTAAAATCAGGTCTGTGCCACACGCCCTGGGGGAATTCACTTGCCAAAGAGCATCCTAACTCTGAGCTTGGGCTTTATTGGCTCTTCTCTTCCATGCAGGTCCTGGAAGGCGCTGGAGGCGGCCGCCATGGACAGACGGGCTCCTCACTGCTGGGCCGACCTCCAGGTGACTGGCTCTGCCTGCGGGGCACTGGGGCGTGGAGGCATCTGAATGCTCTTCTCTGCCTGATGCAGACAGTCAGAAATGGATTGTTCTGTTAACATGTCTGTCCCTTGACACAGTAAATAAGTGTTTGACACCGACTGCATTTGCTTCTCATGTTTGAATACACCCACACTTCCAACACATGGATCATCAGATACCTACATTTGCTTTAAAATTCCTATAATCAACAGCGAAAATGTTTGAAAATTTAGAAAATTTTAGAAAGCATTTAGAAAAATTTAGCAAAGTTAGATGGGTCACAGGGGGATAATAAAGTGAAATAGGATAGTGAGACAGACCTACCAATGAGTATGTCATTAGGTAGTTGTACTATTTTCTTTAGGTGCATGTGTATGTCCTGCATTGTGTCTGTGCAAGTGTGTGCATGTGAGCCTGTACAAGTGTGTGGGCATATGTGTGCTTCTATGTGTATGAAGTGTTCATGTACGTTCTACCATCAGAAAGACACTCAGTGAGCTTAGAGAATTGGTATGATGTCTTCAAAAGTGGGTCCTCCCTGGTGGCACAAGGGCTTAAACACAGCACTGTGAAGTTATTGGCAGCCTGTGCAGCTGTTCGATCCCCAGCCAGCCAGGGAGCTACCCATGTGGCCCAGCAGACCTCTCCTGTTGCCTGCTGCTCCCCTCGGTAGTGGATTTCAGTTGATGTGCCTGTTCTGTTCCCTCTGTGACTCTGGTGAATCCTCTTACCCCCTGAACCTCTGGCCTGTACCTCAGTTCTTATGTGCATAAATAAACAAATATTTAAAAAAAATTAAAGTTCAGTAGAATTCAGTCGTTAAACCATGGTTTATTCTAGTTTAGAATTGCATTATTCAGGGCCTCCCTGGTGGTACAGGAGTTAGAGTCTCAGTGCTATGAATCTATCACCACCATTGAGGCATATGTTTAAGAATTTGATCCCCAGCCCATGTGCTGATCCACATGGCTCAGCAGACATCTCCTATCTCCCTGCTACTCCCCTCAGCTGTGGATTTCAGTGGATCCACCTGTCCTGCTCCCTACTCTGTTTCTTTTGAGTCCTCTCACCCCATGCACCTCTAGCCTTCACACCAGTTCTTGTGTGCATAAATAAATAAATCTTTTTAAAAAGGGTATTATTCAATTTGGCATAGATTTTAATGCTCAATATTCAAAACTATATATCCTTACTTTAAAATGAAACATCTATTTTAACATTTGAAGATCATAGAAGCAATGTGACCTTGGGCTATTTTTTAATTTGGTTCCTTTTTTCCCCAAGATTATTTATTTATGCATAGAAGAATGGGTGTTCAGGCCAGAGGTCTGGGTGGTGAGAGGATTCACCAGAACCACAGTGGGGAACAGAACAGGCAGATCAACTGAAATACACTGCTGAGGGGAGCAGTGGGGAAACAGGGAGGTCTGCTGCGCCATGTGGGTAGCTGCCTGGCTTGGGATCGAACTTGTGTTGCTGTGGCTGGGGATAGCTCATAGGATTGCGTCTTAACCCCTTGCGCCACCAGGGAGGCCCATCAATAAAGAAACATGTAAAGACCACGGACAGGTAAAATATCATTGCCCTGGGTGTTTTAAATTAATTGGGAATAAAATCTTTAGCAGTTAAATAGCTTTATAGACATTTTTACTGTCACGTGTCCCGAGGCTCTCCATTGGCTTCATTCACTCAAGATTGAATGAATAAAACACACTGTAATGTTGATATTCCCTTGATTGCTTCTAAGTTACGTATTAATAGAACTTGCATTAAAAGGCAGACTGTGTTGATGTACAGAACTCAGGAGGCAAATGTTCGTATGTGTGTATTCCATTCTGCATACATGGCCATGATCCCGAGTCAATATTAAAGGTGTGACAAAGAGAAGAAACGGATGTGTCCAAACTCTTATTTTTCTAAAACCAGCAATAAGTGAATTCCTTTTCCATTCCAGATTAGCTATGAAGTTTACACTCAGACAATTTTAGAAACATGGAATATCTGTGACTTTATCTAAAACTTCAAGTACAATAGTATCTATTGTGTTGGCTTTTTTCTTTCCCTGTATGGCATAACGAATGGACACACAGTCATTTATCAGATGCATCAGATCCTTCTCATGTGGTCACTTTCAAAGCACTCCCTACCTCCTGTCCAGTCTCTCCAAACTCCCGGTGACAAGCTAAGTGTTCTATCTGTCAGAACAGCTACAGGTACCCACAGAAGCAAACTCTCTGCTCCCTCTCATTCACAACCAAACTTTGGGCTTTTTAAATTCCAATTTTATTGTATTATAATTGGCATTAAAACGATGCAGTTCACATAGCCTGATTGTTGGCACCTGGAGTACAGACATGTGTGTAAGTGTGCACATACTGGCCCAGAGGTGGAGCTAAAACAGATTAAAGGGATAAAAGCAGAGGCAGCCACAGCAGGCAGAGGACAAGGGTGACAGAGAGGACAGAAGGACAGAAGAGGTGAGATCAGCAGGTGATGTGAGAGAGACTAGCAGAGAGACCAGAGGAAGAACAAAGATTCTTGGGGTCCTGGGGGCTTAGTTGCCTGTCTTCCTCCTCAGCTCTGCAGCTCCCCTCCTTGGGCCAAGGCCTGCCTCCTTGCATGCCAGCTCCCCAGCATGCTGTGCCTGTGTACCTGGTTCCCTGAGAGACTGAAAACCTGACAAATCCACCAGGGATCCTGGATTCTCCTCTATCTGTCTGCAAGAAATGAGAGTGAACCCACCCTGTGCGAAATAGCACTAGAGAAATAATACTAAGACCAAGAGCCCGTGTCTCTAGGACAAGTAGAGGGTAGTGTATTGACGTATAATAAACGCCCCTGCTGCGAATCCCCTGCAGCAGGGCTCCCGAGTAACCTTGTAACTACATCCGTTTGCACATCCAGGGCACTGGGAGTGTCCAAGATACAGACAAACTCTGAAAGAGAAACGCTTCCACTAACAAGGACAGCACCAATGGCTGTGCTCACAGAGGTGGGGTAGGTTAAAGAGCGAGTTTGGATCCACTAAAGGCACAAAATGTCAGCCAGGCTGACGAGCCATTAAGAACTCTAACATGTTAAAACCATTAAAGAGACTTATATAGCAAAATAGCCAAATCTTTTGAATACAACCTAATAATGAGAAAGACAAGCATAACATTGGAGCAGCGAGGCTTGCTGTGTCCTGGAAGGCATCTGTGCTGTCCTGAGCTTAGGACATGGTTGTGTTACCAGTCAGAAGACATGATGTGGCAGAGACCCTACTTAGCATGGGCCCCTCCTCAGGGTCAAGTTGAAGCGTGTCTGAACCTACTAGTGCCAAGGGCCCAGCAGAGATCGCTAAGTTGAGGCAGGTGTCTGTGGTGAGGGCGTGCTTTGGGGGAGATCTGGCTCCAGCCCACTCCCATGGGCCAGTGGGCCCCACCCCCACCGGTGGGCACCTCCCTGACTCTGGAATGGACAGGAAGGGTGGATGAGTACTCTCCTTGCTTCAGAATGAACTATTTCTACAGCACCTCCCAGAGGTAGCCAGAGATAACTTTTGTTATTTAATAGCATTATGAACTCATGGGTTTTTAATGTATTTAATATGTTTCAATTTACTGTCGATGTTCCTTTTTTAAAAATATTTATTCATACAAGAACTGGGGTATAATTCAGAGGTGCGGGATGGCAACAGAATTCATCAGAGACAGAGTGGGGAACAGAACAGGCAGAAGGACCAAAGACACTGCCGATGGGAACAGCGGGTGAGACAGGAGAGGTCTGCTGCACCATGTGGGTATCTCCTGGCGGGCTGGAAATCAAACCCACACTGCAGAGACTGTGGACAGCTTCACAGCACTGCGCACAACCTGCTGCACAACTGAGGAGGCCCAGTGATTTTTTTTTTGGTGTCCAAATGCCCCCATGTGGCTAATGGGAACCTCCCTCAGTGGGGCTTGGGATACTGTACTGACACGACCCAGTGACTGTGATTCCCCCCTGGCCTTGTGCTAAAGCTCAGGGTCTTCCCGTGCATCGCCCCCCCCCCACAGCTCTGTAATTAACTACTTCTCTAAGGAGTTCTGGGTTCTGCTATGAGACCTCATATGAGTGATCACTGACTACTGTTTGTAGGACCCTTTAATGGACAGAGCTAGAAATACGCATTTTTAAGTGTAAACAATCATTAAATTCATGCACAATGATGAAAAACTTTTCCAGTTTAGAATTATGAGTTTCATTTAATTGCTTTGAATTTCTTTCCTCAGGATGAAAATCTTGGTTAACCCATTTAAATAATTACTCCATGTTCTATCCATATTTATAATTTTCACAATAATAGCAATACCAATATTTTTTCTAACAATATTACTACATGAAACAGTCTGAGTCAGGGCCTTCCCTTTCAGCCCCGGGATCAATCCCACTAGGACTATACAATCTCATTACTGAGTTTATGTCACTTGAATGTTTCATCAGTGTAGTCAAGCCACAATCAACCTCATATGTTTAATTTTGTGGGGTTTTCTGTATTTTTAAAAACATTTAATTTTATTTTTTTAACATTTAAAAATGTATACTTTAATAAGTATATAATATATAAACAATAAGTAAGCTTATGGAGAAGCTAACCAGGTACATAAATTAGGAGATACAAGTGTCCATCTAAATTTTCTATATTTCTTTTCTTTTTTACAGAATATTTATTAAAGTTGTTTAATATACAATTTCTCATTTGTCATTTTGGAAGTCCTTTATTGTAAAGACTATTCATTTGCCTAACGACAAACTGCAGCCCCACTGTAAGTGATTATTCCGGACCTCCACGCTGGATAAATTCCATTTCTTCCTGAGACACAAGTTTCCTTCTATATTTCTGAGGTAATGTTTTTATTATTTCTGCAGTGTCTGGTGGGCCCTGATACATCAGCCAATCTGGTGATTTGCTTCCTTTAGAATGTTGTGAAATTGAGGAAGAATGAGATGGTAGTCCTGCTGATCCCAAAGCTTCTGATACATTGGGTTTCGGATTGTCTCTTCTATCTGGGAATCTTATTAGTGGAGTATGTGGCTTGACTACCTGAACGACCCTGCTGGCGGACGCCATTTTGCTGTATACATAGTCCACATAGTTCTCCCACCCCATCACCCCAGTGATCCATCTGCACAGACCCTTGGGCTCCGCCCCCTTTTCACCCCTCTTCCTCCCCCTTTCCAGCTGGATGCCTCAGCAATATGGTCAACTTGCAACTTTCATCTTTTTCCTGACCTTTTATTTGGTTTTGCTATATCCACATACAAGTGTTACCATCTGATATTTATCTATTGCTCTCTTATTCCTCTTAGCATCATCCCTTCCAGCTCCATCCAATTGCCCCAAATGGTTCGTTTATCTTTTTTAATTGTTGCCTAGTATTCCATTGTGTGTCTCTGCGTATATACTCACATAGATACACATTGTGCATGTTATATATATATATATATATATATATATATATACACACACACACACACACACAACACATCTTCTTAATTCATTCGTGTGTTTTGGGACATTTGGGTGTTTCCATATCTTAGCTATTGTAAATAGTGCTGCAATTAACACAGGAATGCAGGTTTCCTTTGAATTGGTGGCATTTTTGAAAACATTGACTTTTAAATATAGTTCCATAAATGTGTAGTTTCAGTGTCCAGCCTATAAGTTTATAAAAATGATTTATTCAAAGTGGTCTGAGGTCTTCATCTTATCCCTCTCCCTGCAAAGAGAACCATTTTTATAATTTTGCAGTGCCTCTTCATCTTTCAAAGAGAATGTGCAGGTCTGCATGAGGAGGAGTTTGGGGCAGAACGAGCATGTTTGTGCAGATGACACCCCCCTTGAAGGGACAACACTGAACTCACATTTACACACACTTTTTCCACTTAATGTATTTTGGGCAGGATTTTGACGGGGATTACACTGAATCTATTAACAGGGTGATGTTAATGACATTATAACCTTGAGTATTCTAGTCACATAACATGATATTGCTTTACTCAGGCCTTCTTACTATTATTTACTTTTTTTAAAGATTTATCCATTTATGCATACAAGAACTGGGGTACAGGCCAGAGGTGTGTGGGGTGAGAGTATTCACCAGAGACAGAGTGGGGAGCAGAACAGGAAGAATGACTGATACACACTGCTGAGGGGAGCAGCGGGTGAAACTGGAGAGGTCTGCTGCACAATATGGGCAGCTCCCTGGCCAGCTGCGGGATCAAACTCATGCTGCAGACAATGCAGACCACCCAACAGCACTGTGCCCAAACATTGTGCCACCAGGGAAGCCCCCTTCTTCCTTTAGAGTTTACTCTTACTATTAGAGTTTTACACAGAAGCCTCACACACCTGGGTATTTGATTTTTTTGTGATGCCGTTGTAAATTTTACTATTTTTTTTTAAATAATAAATTTTATTTTTATGTTCCCCCATACAATTGCAAACGCCCCATTCTGACCCCAATCCTTCCCCTCCCACCCCCCACCCCCCCAAAAGTGTCTCTGGTTCATAGTTTTTTGTTGATTTGGATTTTCACTTTCTTACATTCATTTTCCTGGTCCCTTATTTAAGTTTTCTAGATTCCTGCTATGAGTGAGACCATCCGGTATTATTCTTTTTCTTTTTGGCTTATTTCCCTGAGCATGATCCCTTCCAGTGCCATCCATGTTGCTGCAAATTGCATGTGTTTATCTTTTTTGAATGCTGAGTAATATTCCATGGTATATATGTACCACATCTTCTTGATCCAGTCATCTATTTTTGGGCATTTGGGTTGTTTCCAAAGCTTAGCTATTGTAAACAGTGCTGCTATAAACATAGGGGTGCAGGTGCTCTTTGGAATTGATGTTTCTGTGTCCTTTGGGTAAATACCTAGGAGTGGAATTGCTGGATCATATGGAAGCTCTATGTTTAGTAGGTCCAGAAATCTCCACACAGCTCTCCATAGTGGTTGGACCAGTTTGCACTCCCACCAACAGTGCAGAAGAGTTCCTTTTTCTCCACACCCTCGCCAACATTTGTTGTTGCTAGTTTTTTTAATATGTGCCATTCTCACTGGTGTGAGATGGTATCTCATGGTAGTTTTGATTTGCATTTCCCTGATTACAAGTGATGTTGAACATTTTTCATATGTCTGTTGGCCATTTGCATTTCCTCTTCAGAGAAGTTTCTTTTTAGCTCTTCTGCCCATTTTTTGACTGGATTATTTTCTTTGTTGTTGCTGAGTCTCATCAGCTCTTTGCAGATTTTTGTGATCAGTCCTTTATCATTAGTGTTGGGTGCAAAAATGTTCTCCCAGTTGGTGGGGTTTCTCTTTGTTTTTGTTATTGTCTCTTTTGCTGTGCAGAAGCTCTTTAATTTGATGTAGTCCCAGCTGTTTATCTTTGCCTTCACTATCACTGCTTTGGGTGATGTGTCTGTAAAGATGTCTTTGATGTGCAAATCCCGTAGTGTTTCGCCTATATTTCCTTCTATGTATTTTATGGTTTCAGGTCTTATGTCTAGTTCTTTAATCCATTTTGAGTTGATTTTTGTGTATGGTGGGAGGTAGTGGTCAAGCTTCATTCTTTTGCATGTAGCGACCCAGTTTTCCCAGCACCATTTATTGAACAAACTTTCTTTGCTCCAATGCATAGTCTTTGCTCCTTTGTCAAAGATTAGTTGACCATAAATCTGTGGGTTTATTTCTGGATTTTCTATTCGATTCCATTGGTCTGTATGTCTGTTCTTGTTCCAATACCATGCAGTTTTGATGATTATGGCTTTGTAGTAGAGTTTGAAGTCTGGGAGTGTGATGCCTCCATTTCCTTCTTTTTTTTTCAGTAGAGCTTTGGCTATTCGGGGTTTTTGGTGATTCCATATGAATTTCATCAATAATTGTTCTATTTCTTTGAAGAATGCCATTGAGATTTTGATTGTAATAGCATTGAATCTGTATATTGCTTTTGGTAGGATGGCCATTTTAATAATGTTTATTCTTCCAATCCAAGAGCAGGGGATGTCTTTCCATTTCTTTGTGTCTTCTTCTATTTCTTTTAACAGTGTTTTATAGTTTTCTTTGTATAGGTCCTTTACCTCTTTTGTTAGATTTATTCCCAAATATTTGATTTTTTTGTTTCAATAATAAAAGGGATTTTTTTTTGATTTCTTCTTCTTCAGATTTATTGTTTGTGTATAGGAAGGCTACTGACTTTTGCGTGTTGATTTTGTATCCTGCCACTATACTGAATTGATTGATGAGTTGAATTAGTTTTTCTGTGGAGATTTTGGGGTTCTCTATGTATATTATCATATCATCTGCAAATAGTGATAGTTTGACTTCTTCTTTTCCTATTTGGATTCCTTGGATGTCTTTCTCTTGTCTTATTGCTCTGGCTAGGACTTCCAGTATTATATTGAAAAGCAGTGGTGAGAGTGGACATCCTTGTCTTGTTCCAGATCTTAATGGAATTGCTTTCAGCTTTTCACCATTGAGAGTGATACTGGCTGTTGGCTTGTCATAGATGGCCTTTATGATGTTGAGGTATGTTCCTTGTATCCCAAGAATTTCAAGGGCTTTTATCATGAATGGGTGTTGCACTTTGTCGAAAGCTTTCTCAGCATCTATTGATATTATCATATGGTTTTTATATTTCTTTTTGTTGATGTGTTGGATAACGTTGATTGATTTTCGGATGTTAAACCATCCTTGTGCCCCTGGAATGAATCCAACTTGGTCGTGGTGAATTATCTTATGGATACATTGTTGGATTCTGATACCTAAAAATTTATTGAGGATTTTTGCATCAGTGTTCATTAGGGAGATTGGCCTATAGTTTTCCTTTTTTGTGTTGTCCTTATTCGGTTTTGGTATTAGTGTAATATTGGCTTCATAGAACGTGTTTGGTATTGTCCCTTCCTTCTCAATTTTTTGGAAGAGTTTGTGAAGGATAGGCACTAATTCGTCTCTGAATGTTTGGTAGAATTCATTTGTAAATCCATCAGGTTCTGGGCTTTTGTTTTTGGGGAGGTTTTTGATTACCATTTCAATTTCGCTGCTTGTAATTGGTCTGTTTAGGTGTTCTATTTCTTCTTTATCTAGCTTTGGGTGATTGTAGAGTTGTAGGAATTTGTCCATCTCCTCTAGATTGTTGAACTTGTTTCCATATAACTGTTCATAGTAGTTACTGATTATTCTTTTGATTTCTGCTGTGTCCGTTGTGATTTCTCCTCTTTCATTTATGATCCTGTGTATTTGTGCTTTCTCCCTTTTTTCCTTTGTGAGCCTGGCTAGGGGTTTGTCTATTTTATTGATTTTTTCAAAGAACCAGCTCTTGGTTTCATTGATCTTTTGGATTGTTTTTTTAGTTTCAATTTCATTTATTTCTGCTTTGGTTTTTATTATTTCTTTTCTTCTACTGGGTTTGGGGTTTTTTTGTTGTTCTTTTTCTAGATCTTTGAGCTTCGAGATTCGGTTGTTTCTTTGAGTTCTTTCTTGTTTTTTGATGTGAGCTTCTATTGCTATATATTTTCCTCTTATTACTGCTTTTGCTGCATCCCATACATTTAGGATATTGGTGTCCTCCTTGTCATTCAATTCAAAGAATTTTTTAATTTCTTCTTTGATCTCCTCATTAGTCCAGTGGTCTTCCAGTAGTGTGGTTTTTAATCTCCATGAGGTAGGATAGTTCCTTGCCTTCTTTTTATGATTTATTTCTAGTTTGATGCCTTCGTGGTCAGAAAAGATGGTTGGTATGATTTCAATCTTGGTGTATCTGTTGATGTTTGTCTTGTGCTCCAGTATGTGATCGATCCTGGAGAATGATCCGTGTGCGCTTGAGAAAAATGTGTACTCTGTTTTTTTTGGGTTTAGTGTTCTATAGATGTCTGTTAAGCCCAAATGCTCTAGGTCCTTATTTAGAGCTTTAGTTTCTTTACTTATTTTTTGTCTTGTTGATCTATCCATTGTTGATAGTGGTGTGTTGAAGTCTCCCACTATGTATGTGTTTTCTCTGATGTCTGTTTTCAGAGAGGACAACAGTTGTCTGATATATTTTGGTGCTCTTTCGTTTGGTGAGTGTATGTTAATGAGTGTTATTTCTTCTTGAAGTATTGTCCCCTTAATCATA